TGTGTAATGAGAGGTGTGCGTCGTGCCCGCAGCAATGACGACTGTCGGCTCATTGAGCCCGCGCCGCTGCGGAACAACCCATACCGATGGCAGCTACTCTAGAGAGTCGGCGTCGGGGGTGGCGTCGGGCCCGAGCGCTCTGGAGAACCCAGCCGAACGAGAGCGGCGTGACACAGCAGAGCACGAGTAGAACCTCCGCCCATACAGATTAACGGGAAAGGTACTGCAGAGCATGCTGCAATAGAGAGATCGCTATACATACGACGACCTTCAGCCCATCCCGTCACCGTGCCTAGGCCCCGCACTTGCTGTTCAACCCGTGGTCCAGTCGCAATGTCCACCAGCAGGGTGCCCGTGAGGCGAAGGCTGGGAGGCCTCATCATCGAACCCAGTCCATGCGCCTCGCTCGTTCGCCGATTGGGAAGACGATTCCGAACCTGGGGGAGGAGGAAAAAAGGAATCAAGTGGAAGAGAACCAGGAATATACAAGGAGAAGAACGAGTGAGTTGAGGAAGAAAGAATCCCGTCTAGCTGGCTCTTCAAGCCGTGAGTCAGTTGCACCGTCCACCAGCAGGGTGACAACTGGAAAAAGGGTGCGCGAAAGAGAGTCTCATGTATAAGCGCGCCTCGCAAGCAACTGACGAAGCATATTTGCTGACTCTGGCCCGCAACCCAGCTGCTCCTCCTTCTCCTCCTCCTCCTCCTCCTCCACCCCATCCCGCTAGCGTCATTTGTTCGACCTCAGACTGTCGCGGAGCGCTGTAGGGGCGGCAAGATTAAATGCACAACTTCTGTACGCGTCAAGCACAAGATGGAAACATATGCAGACAACGAGGCTACAGCTCAGCCGTCTACGGACGCGGTCTGGCAGCCCTCCCAATAGTTAGTATTCTCCTCTCCGATTTCCAGCCCGTTCTCCTCCTGTCTCCGAGCACGACCAGCAGGCGCAATCACAGTTTGTACAATCGCGAAAACGAACATAACTATCGCACATGCGCAACATGTAACAACTATTTAGGTGCATCAAATGACGGCTGTGGATCATGTGGTCCAGAGAGCGGACTACCTTCAAGTTGACATCCTTGTCCCTGGCGTTTGTGGCCAAGATGTCCTTGTGAGATAGGATGCGGGTAGCATTCTGCGCATCAATGTGGTGCCAACTGTCGAGCACCCAGGGGTGCAATTGAAACCCTTCACTGAGTCGATGCCGTGGACTTTCACTCGGAGCCTATCCTCGGTAGCTAGCACCAATCCGTCCTCCGTAGCCATCTTGGTGGCGATCCAGCACTTCACATTTGGCCAAAACCGTTGATTATAGACACGCTCGTACAACACAATAACAGTGCACCCGAGAAAGGTGAAGGGCAATATGTTCTCCAAGATCAGCCTGAACTCCTCCTCCTCCTCCTCCTCCTCCTCCTCCTCCTCCTCGGTCCGCCCACCACCGTGCCATTAAGGTGCACAAACCCGATCCATCCATACAAACTTGATCGAGGGGCTCTTGGCTAAAATGTCTTGCAACTCGCACAATTTGCTGCAGTCCGGATCGGGGTGTTCTGGCTCTGGCCAGCGGTGGGACACTGCTGCCGTGTCAGCAACAAACCGCCCAGCAAACACATCCTCCATGGTCATGGTCCGCTTCTCCAACAAACCAAAGTCCCTCAACACTTGGTGGTGGCGGAGGATGGGGATGTTGCGCGGCATGTTCATGAGTGCTTCCACTGGCGAAAACCAGAAGTCCATGGTCTCCAACAACTCGGTCTTCTGGTCCGCCTGGTGCTCACTAATCTCCGCTGATCTCAATGTGCGCGTCGCGCGCTGGGCACATGCCACAGCCGGGACATCCGCGCCTCATCAGACAGCCCAAGCCCAGCGCGACGCAGGCCAGGAGGACGATCACGACACCAACGAAGACTGCGAGCGATGCCTCGGAATCTTGCTGCTCCTCCGCGGATGGCGAATTGCTCGAATAACTAGCGCCCAAATTGGTGATCCTGGAGCCCGCTGGGCATCCGTAGTCCAATGGTGCGTCGAGCACCATGGATCCAAAATTCGTGATGTCACGTGTCTCCGAATTGCCGCCGCCAGTAATCATTACGGCGCCCCCTACACGAAAGCCCTCCTCAGACTCCACCACCAACTCCTGTGATCCTGCCAGTACTGGAATTTCCAATGCAGTCGTTGCGGTCTGTACCATGTCGGTGGTGGCTGTGGAGCTTTGGAGAAGCTCGTGCCTGTCTCGGTGGTTGTCTGGGTGGCAGTCTGGGTGGCAGTCTCGGAACTTGTGGCTGTCTGGGTGGCAGTGGTGGAGATTTGGGTGCTTGTTGTGGGCGCCGGCGGCGTAGGTACTGGCGTCGGTTGCGATGGCGGCGTTGGCGGACGCGGCGTAGGTACAGGCTCATTCGCCTGTACGCATATTAACTTCGACAAAGTCTCGCCGCCACCTGCCGACATAACCATGATTCCTCCGCATCCACCACATCAACCTTAATACCACCCGTCGGTCAACGATTCCTTCCCAAGTTCCAATCCAAACAGAGATGCTGCTTGTGCGCATGTGGCTGAGTCAACTATCGGGAGCGAGCTAATGGGACAAGCCTTGACGCCCAACTGGCCAACGCTGAATGTTCCACTGTCGAACGCAGGGCAAGAAACGTCCGCTATGTCCCAAGCACAATGCGGCACCGGCAATACCTGTACGCACATCAACTTCACCAAATGCCCGCCGCCATCTGCCAAGATAGCGATGATTCCTCCGCATCCACCACATCAACCACAAAACCACCCGTCGGTCAACGATTCCTCCGCAAGTTCCAATCCAAACAGAGATGCTGTTTGTGCGCATGTGGTTGAATCAAGTATCGGGAGCGAGCCACTGGGACAAGCCTTGACGCCCAACTGGCCAACGCTGACTATTCCACTGTCGAACGCAGGGCAAGAAACGTCCGCTATGTCCCAAGAACAATTCCAGCAATATTGGAGTCGGAGATGGCGGGGGTGCGGACGTCGGGCTGCTGGGCGTCGGCGCCGTTGAATCGCCAACCTCGCCGCCCCCGCATGCACAGCACATGTCTCCAGCTGTGAAGTCGCTGTCGTCGTACACGTGGTCATATGCGCAATACTGGGCATAATCCGTCCACCATCCGCAGCCGCCGCCACTGGTCCCTGTTGCTTCCCCCGAAGTGTCAGCGCAAGTTGCCGGCGTCGGAGCTGGCGTCTGAGCTGCCGTCGGGGCTGGAGTCGGGCTGCTCGTCGGACTGGGCGTCGGGAACGAGGTCGCCTGCGTGAGAAGTACCTGTCCGGTGGGCACACCCTGGAAGACTAGTAACGCCACCAAGCATGCGGTCCATGGCGCCCTCCTGGCCGCCGCAGTCCGAGCAAACTGGGCAAGAAGATAATACGTGCGTGCGCGGATCTGGTTTGAACGTATAGTCGCGCGCACAAGCTCACAGTGGTCTGCCGAAGCTTGAGCCAGAATGGCTGCGGAATGTTGTGCAATCTGCTTTGTACAATATATAGGTGGTGCTATTTGATGCGACGACGGGGCGGCGACGGCGGCAACAAGCGCGACGACCACAGCACCACGACCCAGCTGACGGGCGGCGGCGAGGCCGCGACGGGGCGGCGACGGAGGCAATCAGCGCGGCGACCATCACCGCGGCCAAGACAACGAGCGGCGACGAGGCGGCCACGGGGCGGCGACGGCGGCAACGAGCGCGGCGACCAACACCGCGGCCCAAACGACGGGCGGCGACGACGCGGCAACGGCGCGGCGACGGCGGCAACATAGCCGCCAAACCAACCCCGCGGCCCAGTTCCCTGTTCCAACAGTAGCAGCAACGCAAAGCAACGCAAAGCAATGCAAACCAACGCAAAGCAACGTCATGCAGAGCAACGCAAAGCAACGTAAGGCAACACAGCGCAATTCAAAGCAATTCAACGCAATGCAAAGCAACGCCACGCATTGCAAAGTATTGCACAGCAAGACAAAGCAAGGCAAATCACAGCAAACCATGCAACTTAAACAAATGCAAAGCAAAACCAACCACTGCACAGCAACGCCAATCAATCACAAGCAACGCGAAACAATACAAACCAACGCAAAACATTACAATGCAAAACAACGCAAAGCAACATCAAGGAAGGCAGAGCGACACAATGCAAAACAAATAAATGGAAAACAATGAAACGCAAAGCAAATCAATGCAAACAAATGCAAAGCAATCCAAAACAACACGAAGCAAGGCGACACAACGCAATGCAAAAAACAAGGCAAAGCAATGCAAAGCAACGCGATGCAAAGCAAGACAAAACAATGCACAGCAATGCAAACCACTGCCACAAATCAATGTATGTGGTGCAGTCTACCGGCTGTGACGAGTCGCGACGACGGCGACTGGGCGGCGACAGCGACAACATAGCAGCCAGACCGACAGACAGGCCAAGACAACGGGCGTCGACGAGGCGTCGACGGCGACAACGTAGCAGCCAGACCGACAGACAGGCCAAGACAACGGGCGTCGACGAGGCGGCGACGGCGACCACATAGCCGCCAGACCAACACGCAGGCCCACACGACTGGCGGCGACGAGGCGGCGACGGGCGGCGTCTCCGACCACATAGCCGCTGGACCAGCACGCAGGCCCAGATCCTTGGAAATGGCATAGGAACCCCTGAGTGCAAACACTGTTTGGGGACATGTTAGCCGGCGTATGTGTTTCCCAGGAGTATATGTTGTGCGATCTACGCGGTGCAATCGACATGATGCAATCGATGTGGTGGAATATATGTTGTGCATCTCTTGGTTTCGCTGCTATCGTAGCGTGTGGCGAGACGGTATATGAAGCCACGCCTAAATCGAGCAGCGCAGCGATGTGGAAAACAACTTCTCGCCCAACTGAGCCTTTGCCAGCGAGGGGACGTGGAGCGCCAGAGGACTCGACGGCGCAGGAAGATTCGGGCGGGGGCGCCGACAGGAGCTCGGGCGCGGGGCTGGGCCGCCGAGGGCTCGGCAGCGCCAGCCAGCCTCCATCGCACGGCGGCGCTCGCCATCGCTTGGACGTCCATTCCCTGTGTTTTTGTTCGGTTTCGTGCGTGTTTTTTTCGCCAAATGATCAAGGATGCTCGTCGATGGTCCCCACCGAGGAAAAAATGCACACGTCCGAGCGATGCGAAGGGCGGGCCGCCCCTCACAGCTCGTCGTGGTGCCGCAGGGCGAACTCGCAGAGCTCCATGGCATGGAGCGGGCTCCTCATCTTGGCCAGGGCCGCCTTGCGCCCCTCCTCGTCCTCCGGCTCCGTGGTGGGCCTCGCCGCCTCCGTCGCCTCGTGCAGCCTCGCGAGGATGCGTTTCTCGAGCTCCTCCATGGGCTTGCCCGTGGCCTCCGCGAGCTTCTGCGCCAGTGTCTCGGCCGTCTCCATGTGCTTGTCGAAATGCGAGAAGCCACCGATGATGCCCTCGGCGTCCTCGAAAGCCTCGAGGCAGATGTTGCCGTGCTTGTGCCCCGTCACGAACTTCCGGGCTTTCTCGATGACGGGATCCTCCATGTTGAGACAATCGACCACAGCGGCCGTGAAAACAAAAGCCAGGACGCCGGCCCTCATGGCAGCGAATGGAGAGCGAGTGCGGGTGGCTTGCAGATAGCTCTGGCACTCGTTGCCGGTGGAGCTGACAAGGCTCAAAGCACAGAGTGCGCAACGTCTTTAACCAAAACGGCTACGCGACTGTAGCGAAATTATTGTGGAAAGTTCTTGTAATGCAGCGATTGTGGTGCATTCTGTGTGGTGCAAGACTTGATGTGAATCTCTGTGCTGCAGTCGTTGTGGAACAATCTGCGTAGTGCACTTTATACGGTGCAATTCACCCTGCCGAACTTGAAGTTGTCAGCTCCACTGCTCGCGCCAACATCCCACTCACCCACCCACCCGCAACTTGGTGTGCAAAACCCATGCGGCGATTGCGATGAGTTGTTTGGCGTTGGCTGGTGCACCTCTGCGGCCGCGCTGGCCCGCGCATGCTCGCGCGCGCAGCGACCAGCTAGTGCGGCGCGACCGAAACGACCGCGGTGGCGCTGACCGCTGGGCACCTCCAGCGGGCACTTCAGTGCGAGTCGGTGACGTGGGCGTCTGCGGTTTCATGGCGACGCCGACAACGGGAGACGCGATGATGAGAGTAGCGATGATGGTGACGAGGGTGGCGATGACGACGGCAAATCCAATGACGCCGCCGATATTGATCACGCCCGCCGATAACGATGACGATGTCCTCGCGTTAGTGATGAAAGTTTGGATGGAGTTCGACATGCGCGCGCGGTCGACGCGCGCGAGTGGCCCGCGTGGTCTTACTTGACACGGATCGTAACCCCCAACACGCGCGCAAGAGCATTCGGATGAGTCCGGCATGCGGCGCGAAAAGCCCGTTTGGCACAATGTGACGGCAATGCTGAATACATATGGTTGTCACACAAACTCGCCAGAACCCGCGCGGAAAACTGATGTTGCACAACCATACGTGTTGTACATGTTTTCGGAACCCTCGTTTTTGACATCCAGAAGAAACGTGAGGCTGTTTGAAGGAATCCGGCATGCGCGCGCGACGACTCGCACACGCATGCACTTCGTCCCGTTTTTTGCAACGGATTCTTGCGACAGCACGCGCGCAAGGGAGTTCGAGTGACCTCGACATGCGCGCGCGAGAGGCCCGCTTGGTTGAATTTGAAAAAATATTCAAGAATTCGCAAGAACGCGGGCGCATGCTTTTTTTTTGAAAACCCCTGTTGCGAACCGCGTGTTTGTTACACGTGTTCGGGACACTCGATATCAACATCCTTTCGACACCAATGGTTTTCCCCACATCCTAAGTGGGGCTCTTGTTTTCTCTGGACACCCTCCGCGCAGGATCTCTCCTCCTCCTCGTCCCTCTCTCTCTCTCTCTCTCCCTCCCTCCCTCCCATCATCATCATCACCACCACCATCATCATCATCATCATCATCATCATCAGCATCACCATCATCATCATCATCATCATCATCATCAGCATCATCATCGCACTCATCACCACTCATCATCATCATCACTCACCCACCCACCCACCCACCCACCCACCCACCCACCCACCCACTCACTCACTCACTCACTCACTCACTCACTCACTCACTCGCTCACTCATCACCGTCACTCGCTAATGTCACCCCAGAATGTCTCAGGCGGGAGCCCCCTCCCTATGGGTCCCGCACTTCATGTTGGTAATCCGAGCGGGTCATCGGCCACCTGTAATTGTCGCCACTTTTAGGGGTTCTCCGGCCTGAATTTGGAGGAGATATCAAGCGGGAACCTCTTCTGTGAGTGAATTGTCAGGAAGTCTCAGGCGGGAGCCCCCTCCCTATGGGTCCCGCACTTCATGTTGGTAATCCGAGCGGGCCATCGACAACATGTAGCTGTCGCCACTTTTGGGCTCCTCAGGCCTGAATTTGGAGGAAGTATCAAGCGGGAGCCTCCTCTGTGAGTGAATTGTGTGGAAATCTCAAGCGGGAGCCCCATCCCCATGGGTCCCGCACTTCATGTTGATAATCCGAGCGGGTCATCGGCAACCTGTAACTCTCGTCACTTTTGGGTTCTCCAGGCCTGAATTTGGAGGAATTAACAAGCGGGAACCTCGTCTGTGAGTGAATTGTGAGGAAGTCTCAAGCGGGAGCCCCTTCCCTATGGGTCCCGCGCGTCACGTTGGTAATCCGAGCGGGTCATCGGCAACCTGTAACTGTCGCCAATTTTGAGCTCCTCCGGCGCGAATTGGAGGACGTATCAAGCGGGAGCCTCGTCTGTGAGTGAATTGTGGGAAAATCTCAGGCAGGAGCCCCCTCCCCCAAAAAACTCCCGACCGCTACCGAAACGGCTCGAAGACATTCCCGAGCCCAACCTGGTTCCATTATGCCTCTCAGATGGCCCCAGATGAGACCACGACCGCCCGCGGTGTCGCCGTCCGCTCGGACACCCCCGCGGAACTGCCCGAGACCCTCTGGCAGTGGCGGCGAACAGACACCAAACAAATATCACTCGCCTTTTTCACCCCTTCGCAGCTTCTACTGCCCCCCGATTGGCATAAACAAGGGGTCGGCGGTGTGGCGTAAGCCTAAGAATCTCAGGCAGGAGCCCCCTCCCTATGGGTCCCGCACTTCACGTTGGTAATCCGAGCGGGTCGTCGGCAACCTGTAATTGTCGCCACTTTTGGGCTCCTCGGGCCTGAATTTGGAGGAAATATCAAGCGGGAGTCTCGTGTGTGAGTGAATTGTGAAGAAGTCTCAGGCGGGAGCCCCCCTCCCTGTGGGTCCCGCACTTCACGTTGGTAATCCGAACGAGTCATCGGCAACCTGTAACTGTCGTCACTCGTGGGCTCCCCATGCTTGAATTTGGAGGAAATATCGAGCGGGAGCCTCATCTGCAAGTGAATTGTGAGGAAATCTCAGGCGGGAGTCCCCTCCCTATGGGTAGTTGGTAATCCGAACGGGTCACCGGCAACGTGTAATTACTCCGACGGAAGGACCCCACATAAGAATATGTTTAGCTTGCCCTTACCCTTTTCCTCCTCGCCCTGACGGACACCCTCCTCTCGCCCGCCGTTTTGCCCTCACCTACCCCCCTCTCCTTTTATTATTATTCCTCCTCCTCCTCCTCCTCCTCCTCCTCCTTCTCCACTTGCGTGGAGGAGTTCACGTGGCAGGGCTCGGGGTCGCACGCCGTGCGCTGCTCGGGGTTCACACTGACTCACGCGTCCTACCGCTGTCGCAAGGCCAGACGCTCCGCAAGGGCGTCACCATCGACTGCGCGAGGGACGAGGACGCTGGCCGCACGGGCACGTCGGAAGACCAGTGGTGGCTGCACCTCTACGTCATGCTCTCCCGCGCCACGCGCATGCGGAACGTGCTGATTCCTGCGGCCGCCGTCGCGCGAGTTTCTGGAGCGCGGGCCGCCGGCTTCCTTGCGGAAGGCGCTCCTGGAGTTCGACAACTGAGCGGAGACGTCCAGGGATGAGGCCGAGCAGCTCGCCGCAGAGCTTGGGTTCATGTTGCCTCCCGCCTGAGCGCGGCTGCGCCCCGCTCGAAGCCCGCGGGGTTGTCCCAACGGCTCGGCCCGCGGGCCTGTCCCGACCGCTTGCCCCCGCGCCCCAGCGGCTTGCGGGGTTGCCCCAAAGGTTTCGCGAACCAGCCGCCGGGGAATACACACGCTCTGGGCCGCGGCGGCGACGGCGCCGAGGAAGGGGAGGAACGCGCGGAGAAGAAGCTGGAGAAGGACGAGGACGGGGAATGGGGTAGGGAGGGGGTGATGATGAGGAGGAAGTGGAGAAGGAGGAGGAGGATAAATAGAAGGAGAGGGAGTAGGTGAGGGCAGAACGGCGGGCAAGAGGAGAGTGTCCGTCAAGGCGAGGAGGAAAAGGGCAAGGGCAAGAACAACATATTATCATGTGGGGTCCTTCCGTCGGAACAATTGAAAGATTTCGGCATACGCGCCCGACGACGCGCGCATGTGTGCACTGCGTTCCATTGGTATGAAGAATATATTGAAAACTGTTGCCTTTCATAAACGATTACGCGCGCATAATATTCTCTGCCGGGGATGATGGGGGAAACCGATACCGGCCTGCCCGATGGCACGAATTATATTGAGGATGGGCGATGGGGCAAAATCGCATGTAAATTACATTACGAAAAGGTGGACCGTTAACCCTGGGCGTGGGGGAGGGGAGTGTAGATCCTGATGCTCTGCTACCAAAAAAGACACATTCGTGTTCGCACTGGGACGTCAACTCCACTGCCCGCGCAACAATCCCGCCCATCCATCCGCAACTTGGTTTGCAAAACCCAGGCGGCGGCGATTGCGATGGCTGCGCGACGCTGGCTGGCGCGTCGCTGCGGCCGCGATCGCGCCGAACGTGGACTTCGTCACGTTCTTTGCAAGGGATCCCTGGAAACTGATGGCTGTTGATCAAGGAGTGCGCGCGCATAAATGATGCTGTTTGACACAGATGAAGGGGGGGGCGATGCCGGTTTGGCTGGGGCGACGCGGAAGCATATTAATGTGAACGACGGGGCTGGATCGCACGTGCAGCGTTGCATCTGACAAGGAAGCGGTCGCCCCGGGGGGGGATCCGAACTTCTTCCGAGAGAAGAGAACCATGCGCGGCGCAATCTACGCGGCGCAATTCGCTTTGCCGAACATGGAATTGTCAACTCCACCGCTCGCGCAATCATCCCACCCGCCCACCCGCAACATGGTTTTCAAATTCCCAGGTTGCGGCGATTGCGATGGCTGCGCGGCGCTGGCCGGCGCATCGCCGCGGCCGCGATCGCGAGCGCAAGCTCGCGCGCAGAGCGCCCAGCTTGTCTGGCGCGACCTACGGCCGCGGCGGTGCTAACCGCCGGGGGTCTCCCGCGATCTCGCAGACCGCGCTGACGCGCGGGCGCAGCAGCGCGAGTCGGTGGTTCGGGCCATCGCGGCATCGCGGCGACGTCGACAATGGCAGACGCGATGACAACAATAGCGACGCTGGCGACACTGACGACGACCACGACGACGACGACGGGGAAGCCCATGTTGGCGCCGATTCTGATTGCGCCGACGACGACGGCGGCGATCACGCGTCGGCGAAGAAGGCCCTTGAATAATTTCGACACGCGCGCGGGGCGCACGGACGATAGTGGCCCGCGTGCTGTCATTTGACAGGGGTCGCGCCCCGCCCCCAGCGCGAGCGCGAGGGCGTTCGAAGGACATGCGCG